GCATTTGGAAGCAACAATCTCCATGCAATCCTTGCTATACACTAAAATGCAGGGATTAGTTGTTAAAGTAATTATATTCTCAGGTGTGGCTTGGATACAAAGCATTAAATTTCATGAACAAGGAGCTGAAGAACACATGGATCAAATGCCACGTGCTGGCAAACGGAGGTCTGTCCGAATTAAGTCATCTAATAGTAAAATAAAGCCAGGTGTAGGAGTGCATCCTTATAACTCTAGCTACCTGGAAGGCTGAGGCAGGAAGATCACAAGTTTGAGGTCAGGGTGAGCAAAATTTAGCAAGACCTTGTCTCAAAATAAAAATAAAAAATAGTGGAATAATGGGACATTGACTATAATGATTCTAGGACGTGTGCTTCAGTGTGGATGATTTAAATAGTAAAAAAATACGAGATGTCTTTGGGAGAAAAGCCTCTGTATAACCTCCTGGGAAAATCCACAACAAAGATTATCATGCAGCTGTATCAGAAAAAAGTATGCCCTCAAAAGGCAATATTTGATTCATCCTCAATAATTGTAAGAATTAACATAGAAACTTAATTATAATCTATACTTATAAAATACAAGTTTTCTTTCATAATTTCATGTTCACATCCCAATCATTCTCTTTAAAACATGAAGTTCTGGAGCCCATGTTAAAGGAACTTTAAGGGTTTTTCTCAGGTACTCAACCCGCAAAGCAAGAGCCCAATAGACATCATACGTAAGCTGGTTCTCTCATTCATATTCTCTCTCTCTCTCTCTCTCTCTCTCTCTCTCTCTCTCTGCCTCTCTCTTTCCTTCCCTCACCCCCCCCCATAGGTGTATATGTGTGTCTCCTCTTTCTCCCTCCATCAACCTTTTGCCTTAGTCTCTAAATCTGGAGTCTAAGGCCAGGCATGGTAGTGCACACCTGTAATCCCAGCATTCAGGAGGCTGAGGTAGGAGGATTGCCGCAAGTAGTGATGGTCATATTCAAGATATTCTCCCACGGGCAACCCAAATTAATGGGAATTCCTGCATCAGGTGCCGTCCCTTCCCTCACCCTCTGTTTTAGGACAGTAAATCAAAACATAAAGAAGACATAGTATTAGAATCATCTATGATGCTCCTTTCGTTTTGTAGCTCCAAGATTGTGAAAATCTCTGTGCAAAACTACAGGGGAAGGCAATTGCTGCCCTGGCCCTTAGGAGGCAGCTGTAACGGCATCCCAAGCCTTTCATATTCCTGAAAATTACAAATTAAAATTAATTTGAAGCCACTCCACTGTTCCACTCTGAGTGGGTGACACTTGCAAGGAAGACACAGGTCCACAGGCAGGGATGTTGGGCACATTTAAGACTCACTCTGGAACAGAGTTTAAAAAAGATAAACAGGGAAAGCAAGTTGCACATCTTCAACAACCAAGAGATGAGGAGCTGCATCTACCAACACCTTTCTTCCAGAAGAGGCCAAAACCCAGACTCCTAACGTCTGTTCTGACCTTGGTTGACTATTACCCCAGCACATAAGCTATAACCTTGGAACTGGAAACAACCTTCAACCTGACTTCTCACGGAGTGGCATGGGACAAGGAGGCACTCTTGTTTACAGGACTGTGCACTTTTTCGTTACCTGTTTCTCCTGCAAACTGCTTGAGACCAGGGGTCATCGCAGCATTTTCTTTTCCCCCAATTTGCTCCTAATTCACTTTCATTACTCTCCAGCTCAGCACTTCAACTCAGCAAACGATGCAGAAAGGAAACTTGTTATCTTCTACATGGGCTTCTTCATTTTGGATACATTTAAGAATTTTGGGGGCCAGAAAGACAGCTCAGTGGAATAAGTGCTTGCCTGGCAAGTGCAAGGTCCTGAGTTTGATCCCTGGTACCACCAAAAAAAAAAAAAAATTTACCTCCATTATACAGAAGTTAATTTTTTTTTAAATGAAGGACCTCGATTTTTCTTTTAACTTTGAGAACTCCAAAGACATCTTGTGCTATGTCGTCATTTACATTTCACATTACATTCAAAATATGTTGGAGATGAGCAAATATTTGCTTTAATTTGATCCATCTGTCAAATGGAATACTAAAAAGACAGCCAAATCACTATATTAAATTTGGCAATTTGTAAACAATTTATATGTTCATTTGTTCTGGGTTAAAAATGCCCGAAAGCACAAGTTTTATGAAATGCACCAAGTAAATTGCACTATATTAATCTGATGGATGCAGACCACGATTTCTTCCTCTCCGGTCCATTAATTTATTTCCTAACTTGAGTTAATTAGGGAGGTTCCTATTTTTAAAAGCTCTTTGCAACTCATTGGGAGAGTGGGACATTTGCAAGAGCTGCTTTGAAAACCTACTGCAGAGGAAATGGGCTAAATACAAATGGATATGTCCTCAAGACACGAGCCCACATTGAGCACCTGATTGCCATTCAGCAGTCCTGGTGCTGAGAGCACAGTGGGTGATTAATACAGTAGTTGTTACAAGAAAGAGGGAAAGAGCTAGGAGCAAAGGATGACAACATCCCTGAGATCGAACTCACTCCGGGCAATTAATAACCCAAGGAGACGATCTCCAAGGTCCTATCCATCTCTAAATAAAATCTGTCACATTCTAATTTTATGCTACCAATCAACAATGGACTTTAACCTGGAACACCCCCTGGGAAAAGAACAGATAACTACTCAGAGAAATTTTTTTAATGCAGACATTGGTCAGAGAACAAAGGGAAATCAATCATTTTTTCCTTCAACTGAAAGCAACCTTAATTCCTAAATTACACTGAGAGGTAAATTCTTTTTTTTTTTTTTTTTTCCTGGGGAGGTGGCTTTGAAGGGAGTCACACCCAGATCTTTGCACATGCTGGGTGAGCAGTCTACCGCTGAGCTCCGTGTACCCACCACAGCCCACCACTTCCTAGTTCTTGTCTACCCTCTAATTCTTATTGCCCTACACATGGAAATAGAGCCTGGGAAATTCATCATTCATATTTCAGTATGTATTACAGCTAACACTTCAAGATAAGCCTAAGTGAGCAGCAGATACATTAGAAGAAAGAGCTGGCTTTTGCACAAATATGCAAACTCTAAGCAAGTGCAATGTCTATCTCTCCCCAGTATATTTTGGGTAGCAGCCAGTGGGAAACAGAAACTCAGATGGTTTGAGTGACCCTCCCAAGCCCCTAGAGGGAGCTGCCTGCCAGGACTGCCCACTCCACCTTCTAGTAAGGCAGGCTAATCTGGGAACACCTTGTTTGTAGACGCCCAGCCTTATTTCACTTTCTCTTCACGGCAGGCCTATGAAAGTCATGGTCAGACACCCTGAAAACCTGAGTGAGGATCTTAGAGTTGAACTTCATGAGGTTTTGATCTGTCTTCTCCAAGACTCCAATTCCTCCTCTATAAAATGCAAACATAAACTACCCCGCAGAGCCCCTGCTGCAGCGGAGATAACCAAATGTTGCTAGTTCCTGTTCTCTTTTTTGCTAACTTTGATTAAAATCAAGTCACCTGCCGGCAAACTCTCCCAAGAGCAGGAGAAGGGCTGCCACAGACCCACAGACCCAAGCATGCGCCTTCCGATTTTCTCCTCTAACTCCCACCCCTGGAACTCGTTACTCCGGTTCCCCACACCAAAGCAAACAGTGCCAGGCATGATCTTTTGCCTGGCACACCACACTGGAAAAGGGAGAGGGGAGAAGCAAGAAACGTTTGTGACAGCAGCTTCTTTGATTCACACTCACATCCCCTTATTATTACTTTCTTCTTGCTTTAGTTAAAAAAATAATTCTTTAAAACCCTTTGCTGATACACACTCTATGTGTGTACAGTGAAGTTTGTCTCAAGATGGTAACCAGGCCCCCTTTTCCAAAGGTTTTGGGAGCCTTACAAATCCTGAGACTCTCGTGTAATATTCCCCGTAAGTCAAGAAATGACCTCGATTTTTTTTAAAGAGGATAATAAAATAATAATAATGAAAACATTAGAAACAATACAAAATTTCAGTAAAAATAATAGGAATTCAATCATGGCTGTTATACTGTATAAAGCTGTCTTCAAATTAGTTGTTTAGATTACCAGATATAAGCATGCAAAATTGGTCCAAAAAGTTTTAAGAAATTAAAAAGGGGAAGTGAAAAAAATTTAAGCATTAACTGCTCCTTTCAATTATCCAAGCTAATGTGTGTG